GCCACTGCCGGGAAGACAGCGAGAGCGAGAGGGATGAGTCTAATTGTCGCCTTTACCAAGGCTGTGAGATTAACTACTGGGATTTATTCTAAAGTGACCCATCACCGAATTCATTTCTGCTTGAACTTTCGGTGAACCTGAGATTAAAGAGGGCAGAGCAGCTAAGCAGTTTGTTGTTAGCTGCCTTTTCAACAGCCCTTTCAGACTGAGTAAATATTGATCGGTTTCAATCTGATTGCCCCAGAGGAAAACACCAAAGCATCTCAATAGCCTCCAAAAGTAAACTTTAAAGGTGAACAGCAGAAATGGCCTTAAGTATGATAGGAAGATGTTAAACTCTGTTAAACATTTAGATGCGGTTTGGGTTGGAGATTTCTTGGTTTGGGTTGGGTTGGGTTTCTTTCCTTTGCTGGGGGGTTTGGTTTTGGTTTTGGTTTTTATTTTTTTGGTCCTCCTGAGAGTCTAGAGAAAAAAAAAATTTTGAAAGGTATGAAAACAAAAGGATCACTACGACCCGAAGGGTCTCCATCAGGCCAAAGCACGCTGCGATTTTTTTATTTATTTATTTAGCGATATCTTTGTGGTAGAAACTCCAAGGAAGAGATTTTCATTGGTCTTTCCCACACTCCCCATCCCGAAAGGCTGATTGTATCGAAATAATAATACTGCTAACAAAATAAGCCAGGATCGGGAAATTTGGGGGTGACAGTTTGAAATCGATCGGGACTGCTGAAAAAAAAGATAACCCGGGGTTTGGACTTGGAAGGACAAGGGATTCTTTGCCGATGAATCGCTCACAGCAAGATTGACGTTCTGACAAGTGTCTTGTCTCTCGCACTTAGGTTATAATTTATGGCCGCTCTTTTTAACATACTAAGTCAACACCCGGGGAGCCGGGTTGCAGATCCGGATTCCAGCAATGTTTAGATCCAGATTTCGATATTTAAATGCCCTCATTGGCATGCAAATGCCACTTTAACACATCCAAGTCTCTGGAAGAAAGCCATCTGTTTTGCTTTGTGGCTTTACACTAATAAACAAAAGGTAAAGTATATGGCAGTCGGGGAAATGAAAGAAATAGGGGCATCGGCGGGAGCCTTTGGAGACAACCCTGCTCCTTTGCGGATAGCTCAGCTCTTGATATGGCCGCCGCGCCTTGCAAATCGGGGCTTGTCTCTTTTGACACTGAAGTGAAGAAAATTTCCTTGTCTCTCTGCGGATCCCGCAAAGCAAATCCTGCGTGTGCAGCTCGGCCCCGGGAGAAGCCAGGGAGCACCCATCCCTCCGCAGCTGGGCCACGAGAAGGAGATGCTGCGCTTGTTTGCACTGAAATTCAAGAGGCATCAGTGACTTGAGGGACATCCCCCCAAGGCCAGCTGTGCATTTCTCTGGTCCCTCCTGCCACCTGCTTGCTCTCCACACATGCGCCCGCGACTCGTCCCGTCCCTTCCCGCTGTCCACTTGACATTCCTTGCAAATCTAACTATATTTACCTGCCAAAATATACTTTCGCTCTCACCCCCAGCCCCACAAAAAAAAAAAAAAAACAAAAAAAAAACCAAAAAAAGGTGGTGGTGGTGAATAGGCCAGGATTAACAACACAGGCACCCTGCCAAGCACCTGGGAGACATCTCCCAGCTTGGCACCCACCAGCCACCATGTTTGGGAGCCTGGGACAGGGCAGCAGGAAAGAGAAGCTGGATCAGCTTAGGGCCCAGGTTAATTGAATGTGCAGCCCTTGGCGAGGGGCCTGCGGTGTGAGGAAAGACTGGCCGAAGACAGTTTCTGCTTTAGAAGGGTGCTCTGTTTACATAAGTGTCAGCATCCATCCAGAGGTGAAAAGGTTAGCACTTGACCCAGGAAGTTCTCGTGTTTGTGCTTCAGAAATAGAACAGGATCATAAATTCCTCCCAGTTATGGAGGAGGAGAGGAGGGCCTGATATTTCCTAAAATTATTGTTATTTGAGCATAGGAAAGGAAGAAGCTTTGTGTTATGAGTAAGGCTGCAGCCAGAGTTCTGACCCTTGCAAAACTCATGAGGAGTTGCACTGGGAGACTTTTCCTTCCTTTCTACCTTGGAAAGGCCTCAGCAGTGGAAAATAAGGGAAACCAAAGTTCTGAGCCCATCCTGTGACTCAGTGCTGACGTCACACAGATGTAGGCATACAAAGGCTACCTGAAAGTGGAATATATTTATTACAGACATTATAAGGACCCGTAAATCTTGCCCTGGCTTCCATCACTGGTGGAATCCCAGAGCCTTTCATGATTGTACAGAAAATCAGGAGGACATTTCGCTCACACACAACTGATAGAACTCAGTGTACCCGCAGTACAGCAAAGCACGGTGCATCATGCAATGGTCTGGACACCAATCACAGAAATTATACATTCATTTGGCCATTCGTCACATTCACAAGTAGGTTGAAAAGACATCGAGTCGAAAGTAAGGTTAATAGGAAACTAGGAAGAGGTGAGGTTTTTTGGACAGTTGGTTGAGCATAATCCAGCACAGCTTTGGGGAAGAGGGGGCAAGCACACCGGGTAAGGTTTACAAAACCTAGTGCAATTGAAGCCTTGTTTGTCACATTTAAAGAAATAGCGCTACTCTTTTTTGTCTTGAGGTATCTGCTTGAGCTTAAGACGTTTACTTGATACGGTCATCAGCTTTACCAATATAAAAGTGGATCCAGTTTGGCGAATGCGCTCACCCTGCTTAACCTGATAATCGAAACGTCATTTCTAGAAAAATCTGTAAAAAGATAAATCTCTCGGACAAAGTATTTACAAGCAACAAACTCATAGACACGAACAAAGAATACATTAAATTAAGGGGATGAAAGTCCTATTAGTCGTGTAAACACTTGCAATAGTGCATCTCTTCATGAGGTTATGTACCCTAGATAACCTGTATGCCACTTCGGGAAACTCGGAGAACCGTCCTTACAGTGGAGGAGGGAGACTCGTGTGCCAAAACAGATCCTCCAACAGAAAAAGTTTGGGACGGTTGCCGGGGTTGGGGGGAGAAAAACCCCTGGCACCGAGACGCCGGGAGCCGGCCGATGGGAGGTGAGAGGGCGGCGGAGCCGATACCCCCGGGACCAGGTGGCTTGGGAAAGGGGAACTGGGTGGGGAAAGGGGGAGCCGGGACCTCTCAGGGAGAGCGACCGACCAAGGGACCAACCGGGAGACCGATATAACTGCGGTGAAAGGAAGCGAGCTGCTCTGGCGGGGCCCTCGCGTCAGGCGGCCGTCGGGGCGCGGCGAGTCTCAGTTGGAGGCAGCGAGTGTGTCCGAGGCGGCGGAGGAGGCCGGCGAGGCGCTGCAGGGCGAGGAGCAGGACTTCTCCGACGACTCCTCTGCCTTCTCCTCGCAGCCCGTGGGGGTGGCGGGGGAGATGGGCAGAAGCCCCTCTTTCTCCCTCTTCTTTTGCTTCATCCGCCGGTTCTGGAACCAGATCTTCACCTGTGTCTCGTTGAGCTGGAGGGAGGCAGCGATTTCTACCCGCCTGGCCCTGGTCAGGTACTTGTTGAAATGAAACTCTTTCTCCAGCTCGGTGAGCTGCTTGGTGGTGAAGTTAGTTCTGACTGTGTTGGGCTGCCCCACGAAGCCGTATTCGCCAGCTTTGCCTGCGAGGGGACATTCAACGGTAAGTAAGCGCGAATGATTTATAGGCGACGTAATCAATATGTCTACACCGGCTAAGTGATAGGGAGCAAGAACTTCTTAGGATAAGGGGGAAGCCCCGGCAGGGTGAGTGATGGAGTGCTAGGTGCTAAACCGGAGTCAGCCTCTAGTGTCAGAGGAAACTTGATAAGTGGTTTATGAATTACAAGAAATATGACCGCGGGAGAGGCGGAGAGGGGGAGTCGGGAATAAGCGGCGCTGGCTGCCAGCGCCGTGGGCAGACGGCAGCGGCTGCTCCCAGAGGTGCGGGCCGCCCCACCTGTCCAGTACCCCGAGGGCACCGAGACGTTTCCCCGCACCCACGGCCGAGAGAGAGAGAGAGAGAAGGAGAGGAGCGGCCCCCGCCCCTGCCCTCCAGCAGGCCACTGACCTGTTTTGGGTGGGTTTCTTTTCACTTTCATCCAGTCGAAGGTTTGCGCCGGTGGCAAAGTCTCAGCGGAGGGGGAGCGGGCGTTTTCCCGGTGGCCGGAGTGGAGGGGAGACAAGGCATGGTTGTAGGTGCCCAGGGACAGGCCCTGCTGCTCCTGACCGTAGGGGGGAGGCACGTACTGAGCGGGCCCCCCGGCGTAGCCCTGGTGCGGGTGCTGCGCGGCAGCGGAGGAAGAGGAGATGCTCCCCGAGTACACTGCCGGGGCGCAGGGGGGGAAGCCACCGCCCATCTCCGCGTCCTGCCCCAGGGGGTATGGGCCGTATGCCGGTCCGAAGCCCTGCGCTCCGTAGGTAGGGCCGCAGCCGGGATGAGCGTAGGACACCCCCAGGCCGCCGTGGTGCTGGTAGGCGGCGGGCTGGGCCGGGGGGTGGTGGTGATGGTGGCGGTGGGGGCTGATGGGCACCCCGCGGCCCGGGAGGAAGCGGTCCTCTCCGCTGCAGCTGCCGGCGCTGACGGCGCAAGGCTGGAAAGTTGTAATTCCGTGGTCAGGGTGGTAGGCGCGGGCGGCGCAGCCCCCCGCCTCGCCACCGAGGACGGGGTACTCGAGGAAAGAGCTCATCCTCGCTATGTCCCTCTGTCACGCCGCCACCGGGTCTTCAGCGTCCGGCGGGGCCGCGCCAACTTTCCCACTTCCTCCATGGGGCCGGCAGGAAAATGACACGAAGGTACAGACAGCGGGCAGGCACGTGGGGGGCGGCAGCCAATGGCTGCGGCGCCTGCGGGACTTTCCCGGCTCCTGCCGCTGATAGATCGCCGCGTCGAGGGCATTTAAAAGCCGAGCGCTCCGACGGCGCTGCATGCAACGGCACCGCGGGGCAGGGCGGCGGCGGCCACCCCCCGAGGGGCAGAGGGGGGGCCGGGCTGGGCTGTCGCCACGCCACCACCGGGGTCCCGCCCGCCGGCTGAGAGGGGAAGGCAAGAGAGATGCGGAGGCTGCGCCCGGCCCGCGGAGCCCACCGGCCGTCCCCTCCAGGGTGAGTGCTGCTGTAGCCAGGGTGCCCCTGCACATCCCCTGCTGTGGGCGCTGTGAGGCTGGCGCTGGGCACCTCCGCCGCACACACCCCCCCACCCCATCTCCCGGCCGGGGCCACGGGGGTGGGGAGGCTGCTGAATCCGCGGTACGCATCGAGAGGCTGGGGAGGAGGGCGGCTGGGACAGCGGGCCTGGAAATGAGGATGGGGATGGAACTGTGGATGGGGTGTGGAGTGCTACGGGAACGAAGAATGAGAATGGAGATAGGGACGGGGCTGAGGATAAGGCAGAGAATAGGAATGGGGCCGAGGATATGAATGGGGATTAGATGGGCTTGGAGATGGGATGGGAACGGGGCCGAGGGATGTCACTGGTCCTGCCCCGCCGCAGTTCCAGCTCGACGCCAAGCCAAGAGTTAAAGGGGCTTGTCCAGCCGCATCACCAGGCGGCCGCAGACATTAACATGGAAATGAGCCGCTCTGGGGACTGACGGCCATTGTGCTCTCCCGGGCCTACCGGCCTCTCCCTGGCTCGTATCCTTGCTCCCTCTGCACCCCTGCCGGGATCCCCGCACCAGCCCGGAGCTGGGGTAGGGGAGGAAGAGCAGGGGCAGGGGGACGGATGTTTGGGAGGGGGCCCGCGGGTTTCGCAGCCCATCTGCTGGGACCCCGCGGTGCCACTGCAGCCCGCCCTTGGACCGGGCGGGGGGGAGGCTGCCCGGAGTGCCTCGGGTCGCAGCCCGACTGCCCGGGAGGCGGCCCGGAGCAGGGGTAGAAGGGCGACGGAAGGTGCAGGGTCCAAAGCCCCGGCCCCTTTGTCCCTGCGCTCCGCCACCCGGTCCGGCATTGGCGGGAGATGGCAGATGGCCAGTGGCAGAGGCGGCCCCTGGACCCTTGGGAACCGATCTGAGCATCAACTCAAACCCATACCCCTCCCCATTCTCACGTTAAAAATGAAAGGGTCCGTGGGCAGAGAACGAGGGAGGGACGTGGGATGTATTCAGTTTATGTGTGTGGAAAAAAGGAAAGAGGAGGCATCCGTCCGTCCCGGCACACCCAGCCTTCTGCAGGGGGAGAGGAAGGCACCAGCAGGCTTCAGAGAGGCATCCTGCGAAACGTTACCCTCTGGGTTAGATGGATGGATGGATGGATGGATGGATGGATGGATGGATGGGAAGTCATGTCCCCTGCCACCAGCCCCAGGAGGGACTGTCCCCTTTATTTCTGCAGGTGCATTTCCAGCCGGCTTCTACATCCTTCTGTTCTCACGCTCAGTTCTTGCTTGGTTTGAAATCCAAAAGGCTCTTCTATCCTGCCACCTCTCCCTGACGCTCCTCCCTCTCACACAGACTACAACATCCTCTCCTAGGTGCAAATCTCTCCTACCACCATTACGTCAGCCCTTACCCCATGCCACCTCCACGGCCCCTCTACTGCCAGGCAAAGTCAGAGGGCTTCTCTCTCCACCACGCGTCTACTCGTATGCCCTCAGTATTTCTGTTTGTTCTGATTTACTACGCGAGCACAGATGGTTAAGAGCCCTCTGGAAAGGTTCAGTTTCTTAAACTCCAGAGGGTAGAGAACAAGAGCAATAACACTCCAGAGGCATTTATGTCATTATACCGCACCAATTTTGGCTATGGTTACAGCTGTAAACACATTTATTTCATTCTTGTAAAGCAGTTGTGATAAATACTGCGTAAGGCAGAGAAAAAAGGCAGGCCGCTGGGACTGTTTACTAATAAAAAGGCTGGCATCTTTTCAGTGCTTTTTCAGCCAGCGAAGGAAAAATATATTTTACTATAAATAGATACATTTTACCTGTAAATTCCTCCGAATTACAGCTCTACTCTTACAGTGTCCAGCACTCTGAAATCCTTTTCCCTCTCCCTTTTTCGTGCCATTGTCTCTTTTGTTGCATTGTCTCTCTGACGGGGCTTTGGGGGTTTTCTGCCTGTACTGTGCGTGGGGGCAACATCAGCTACCTAGAAAAGGGGTGCTGCAGCCCCTTCCCCTTTGCCCGCCGGCCGCCCGGTCCCTCTGCTCCCCTCTGCGGCTCTGCTCCACTTTTTCTGCCCCAGGACTGGGAGTGATCCCAGCGATTTAGGATTTTCCGTGAGATTGTGCCCCCGCTGTGGCTCCAGGGCTTACCGGGAGACTCGGAGGCGACTCCTGTCCTCTGAGTTCCCCATTTATTTAAACAGCGTTTGCGAGAAGTTTAATCCTCGTATCGCATTTTTCTTTATTTTTTTTCCCTTCCTCACCCCCCCCTTTTTTCCCTTAAGCGTTGCCAGAATGCAGAACTCTGGGAACAAAAGAAACCCCAAGCCCGTACGTGCTCTTTGCTGTCCAATTTAGCCCAGTGGCAGAGGAGTTAAAATGCCGATGAGGCTGCTCACTCTCCGCAGGGACAGGGCTAGAGCAGAGAGGAGGAGAAGAAACAGGGCCGAGGTTCGCCGCGTCCGCAGCTCAGCCAAGCTGTTGTTTTAAAAGAGCAATAAAAATGACTTATGACTAAACGCCTTCTCACTTAATGGTTTTAGACGGGGATCCCCAGCCCCGGCAAATACGTAAGAGGATTTTTATTTGTGCATGTGTTCCTGCAATTGATCTCTTTGATGACATTCTCATTCATAGAAAGAGTTTGATTTATGACTTTCGGAAGAACTGCGTTCAGCCCTTCCAGCTATAACCCACGCATTCCAGCTCCACAACGTGTTGCAGGGCTGGGAGAGAGCACTCCTCGCACGGACGGACAGCAGAGCCCCGGCCACAAACCTCACTAGCCCATGTAATGTAATCACAAGCGCACACACACACAGGGAGACGCGATCGTACCCGCCCGAGATCCCCCAGCCCCGGAGCGGCAGAGCCTTGTTGGCATCTGTTGCTCAGTTTTAGCCCGAAGGACGGGGCTCACCCTGCGTTTTGGAGTCCGCTGGCCGGGTGGCAGGCAATTTGGTGGAGGTTTCTGAAAGCCCATCTTTGCTGCTGCCAGCAGAGAGGGGGGAGTCCCTAAGAAATTGCAACTTTAGAGTCAGAGTTTCTCCTTTTCGTTATCAGTCCTTTGCCACGCAAGAAGGTTTAAACAGAAAAAACGTACCTTCTGTTGTGTCCCTGCACTGCTCATCAAAAGGACGGGTGAAGGGGCTGATTCCTCCCTACGTTTTTTATCCTGTGTTTCTGCCACCCTTTTGATTTTACAGGCACTAACTTCTCCATTTCCTCTCCTTCTAGGGCTGATTTCTTGGACCGCTCAGCACGTGAGAAGTAATCAAGCCCCTTCTCTGTGAGGTCTGATATTTTCTAAGATGTTTCCTGAAACAGCTTGCTGGCTGCTAAACACTAATTTCTAGAAAAACAGGATTACCCCTCCCCCCCCCCAAAAAAACCCCAAACTTTTCTTGTATGTAACAGGCTAGGAGACGCAGGAGACGCTTATCCTACTGAGTCTCTCTTGTGTTTTCCCTGCAAGAGAAAGTGCTCGTTCATGCTTTTGTTACAGCTCAGCATTTCCAAGCTTTGTTTCCTCACAGAGATAAGATGTTACATTTATACGTTAAAAGGAAGAGGTCTCCATCAAAGCTGCGAATGATTTTAGTTTCTCTGGTTTCTTTTTGTTGCTTTGTTTTGTTCTGTTCTTCATTCCGCGTGAAAACCCTTGCAATAAAGAATGTGAACCTATTTTCCCTCTCTAATAAATGTCCTAAATTGGCAAAAAGGGAGAGCTCCCAGTCAGAATGCTGAATTTTGATTATTAGTAAATTAATAGTACAAGGGTTGAGAAGGAATAACCTTCATGTTATCAGTCGTGAAAGGAGAGAGAAAGATGGAGGAGAAAGAAAAAAGAGGAAGCTCCTTGTAGCAAACAAGAATTTATTCTACCAAAAATACTTATGACAATGCATCCTAATGCAATACAAAAATAAAAAGAAAGTGAAGATACAATTCCTATCTGATCACTTTCTTACAGACCTCATATATTGCTTTCATAGAAGGACCTAGAATGTGGCTAGGTTAGAAACGAACGCAACTAAAACTTCGTAAGAAACGGCAAAATGGCATAGCAGAGAGAGGTAAAAAACAGAAAATACTGACCAGAAAAAGGAAAGGGGGGGAAATAAAATAAAATTAATTAACGGGGGAAAAGTAAAGAAGAAGAAGAAGGAGGAGAAAGGACCCTTGGAGAGGACGTCTTTAATTTCTCAGTAATTCAGATGTTGCAAGTCAATCGTAGTGAGTGTGTCTGTAAAAAAGTCAAAACTGTCAGCAGAAATATCTACGGGACTGTCGAGAGATCCTGGCAAACTGGGGGAAACTGCATCTGAAAGCTGTAGGCAGGAATCTGTGGAGAAAACGTTAAAGTCCTGTAAAGAAGTGACATCTAGGGCCTCAGGACTGTCATTGTTCAGGCCAGCTGCACAGTTCTGGGCCATTGTTGAGAGGCAGTTTTGAACAGTGGGTGACTGATGTTGAAAATGTTTCAGATTTTTCTCATTGCTCGTTAAAGGCGAAACGGGGAAAGTTTGGGACTCGCCATTGTGCGCATTCTGTGCCTGCTGCTGGGAGAGGGCATTCTGCTGGAAAACGTAGCCTTCCCTCTCCAAGAGAGCACCGGAGACGTTGCTGAGGGCTTGCTCGAAGAGGGATTTCTCTTCCTCCTCCTCCTCCGCCGTTTTCTCGGGGTCCTCTAGGGTCTTAAATTTCCCATCGCTGTTCTGGTTCTCCTTGCACTGGGTCTGTCTCTTGTGCTTCATCCTCCTGTTCTGGAACCAGACTTTGACTTGTCTCTCAGTCAGATCCAGCAAGGCTGCAATCTCAACCCTCCTTGGTCTACAGAGGTACTTGTTGAAATGAAATTCTTTCTCTAGCTCCAAAAGCTGGGTGTTGGTGTAAGCCGTCCTCAGCCGCCTAGATCCACCGCTACCGCTATCGGGGATTTCAAGGGGGTCTGTTAAAAAAAGAAAATAAAAAACAAAAAAGAAAAAGAAAACCACCACCACCACGCGCACCCCAAATCACCATCGCCAGAGCAGCCAAAGTGAACCCAGACGCACGCACACACAAAACAGATAAATGCACGGGTTGAATTTCAGCACCCCAGCACATCGCATCCCGGGGCGGGGGGGGGGGGAGGGGAAGTGCTCTCTCTACACGTATGTGTCTATATCTATATGTCCATATAGCATAAAATAGCAACTGCAACAAAATGGCCGCCTTTGGATGCAGTAAAGCCATTGTGTTGCAGTGCTGAGCGCCTGGTGCTGCGTGCCCCTCGGCCACCTCTGCCAAATCACTGCATCCAGCTACCCAACCTCCCCACACCAGAGCAAACTTTATATTAGCCATACCGCAATTTATAATTAATGCATCAGCTGCTTAGCTAAGCGGGAGCAATCTATCACTCTTCATTACTGTCAAATATCCTAACTCTAAGACGGCGAGACAAGAGAGGTCAGCTCCAACTCAAATAAATCATCCCGCATTAAGCAACTTGGGGGAAAGTTTGGGTTTCCCGCTAGCCCGGCCAGCGCCATCCTCCCGCCCGCCCGCCCCTCCGCCTCGTCCCCCAGCGAAGCCGGGGGGATGCGGGGAGCCAAAAAAAGCGGCCCAGCGGGGCCGGCGGCGAGTCTTTGGACTGACCTTTGTGGCTGAGGCAGGCAGGTCCGGCGGCTGAGGCGGAGGCCGAGGCGGGCGGCAGCGAGGATCGCTTGGACGCCTTTTTCTCTTTCATCCAGGGGTACTCCGGCTGCGGCGGGGCGCCGACGGGGCCCGGGCTGCCGCTGCGGCCGCGGGGGCTCGCCTTGGGGCGACCGCCGCCGCTGTGGCGAGGGTGGCTGCCGGGGTTCAGGCTGGGGATGGTCTGCTCGAAAGGAGGAGGAATCAGTGTCGAGTGTGAAAGCGTCGAGTTCTTGATTGATGAACTTTGAAATGTATCACCGACAGGGGGAAAAGATGTCAGGCACTCAGCAAGCGATGGCTGGCTATTGATAAAACCGATCTCTCGCTCAAATGCGAAATTCATGGCCTTCAACTGGCAGCCCCCGCGGAGAAAAAGTTCGCTCGGATTCAGGGGGCTCGGGGGGGGGAAGGCCCAGGAAAAAGGAGAGAGAGGAGAAAAAAATATAGCATAGAAGATCGCTGGTGGGGTGTTTTTTTTCTAATTCACTGATTACAGCCGTATGGGGACCGTGCTACTATTAAACTATTGAATTCATGGAGACAAGGTTGAAATTGGACCGAATTGGCTGTCACATGATTGCCTCTGCCCAATGACAATTTGGGCTTTAATCAAAAGAAGCCACTGTCTGTTTGATTGATCCAAAAAAGTCGGGAAGGAACGCCTCATTGGGGGCCAGAAAGGATTTATTTACACTTTTTTTAAAGAGGGAAATGATATCTCGAGTATCTATCCCCTTGGCGTCCTAATCTGAAATGATCGGGGAGTGGGGGGAGGGTGCATGTGCGTGGATATGTTTGTGTGAGAGGCTGCGAGTGTGTGTGTGAGTGTGTGTGTGTGTCTGCTTGTCCTGCAGCCTGCTGCCTCCCTCGCCTCCACCCGCACACTCTTCTCTCATTGTTTGGGACTGTCAGGAAAACGCTTTGCACCTCACAAATCATTTAAGCACCTCAATCTGACGCCTTGAGTCATTAACAAAGTAATCCATTAATCTTCAAAGTTTTGACACAGCCAGGCCCCCGCATAAGAAGTTGCACCCAGACTGGACTCTGAAGCAGTGTCTTGATTTTTTCTTCCTAGGAAAAAATGGCACTTCCTCTAAAACTAGTTTCTTCTTCCCGACCTAGTCTCGATGGGCTCCTTTTTCTTCCCGTGTGGGGTTTTTTCTTTCTTTCCTTTTTTTTTTTTTTTTTCCCTTGTTTGTTTCTTATCTTTCTTTCTTTGCGTTTTTTCTTTTTTTCCCCTTTTTTCCTCCTTTTTATTTTTTTTTTTTTTTCCGTTTTCGGTGGCTATCGGGTGTACAGTACGGAGAACAATTGGCCGCCGGTGCTGAGCCATTGTTTAACAGGATCTTCCTCAGCAACCTTGCTTCTAGGGGAAGAGTCACATAGGCAGCAGCCCTTGTGCTTCATGACTTCCCTCTTCAGCTGGCTTCCAGGGATTGGACCGTAAAACATAACCCTAGGAGTACTTCTCTGGGCGAGCCAAATCCCGAGTCTGAAAACGCGTCTGGCTGTTGCCTCTTTAAAAAAAAACCCAAATCCTGTGCCTTAGCTTGCAAACGATACTCCCGTCTGCTGCCATAATTTGCTTAATAACCGTAGTAGGCTGGCTCTGGTGAGTATTTTCGATTACCAGGAAATATACGGGCTGGTAGCGGGTTTGTTTTCACGGGGCCAGGCTGAGCGCAAATGCTGCGGGGTTGTGACTTGAGAGACGGGCACTCGCCTCCGACGCTTGGCTCTCGCCGCCGCCGCCTCCTGTCGCCTCTGCTAGATCGAGGCAACTCCCGAATTTGGATGCCTTGGGCACAGTTTTCCGACCACGCTGAGGGAGAACGATGACAACGCTGGCCACAGCCACCAGCCTGATGAATCTTGTGGTCACAGCCGCCCCGGGCAGCCCGGATGGAACTTGCCTTCCCGCGGAGCCGGGGGGCCCCGCGGAGTGGGGGGCGCCGGGGCCGGGGAGCAAAGGAGCTTCCGAGACGCTGTCCGTGTTCTCCAGGAGCCAGGGACCATCGCTAGGGCGATGCCGAGACGCCTCGCTTTATTTTCGGAGCTGCCAAAAAGGGGTCAGCAACAGTCTTCGTAATTAAAAAAAAAAAAAAAAAAGAAAAGAAAGAAAAGATGGAAGAAGGAAATGGAAGGGGGGGGGCGGAAGGAAAAACAAGACCCCAAGCACTCAGTGGATCAGCCTGCGTCCAGACTGCACGAAGTGCATTTTAAAAATCGGTTTTAAGTTAATGCACCCACAAGATGTAGCATATCTGCGAAGGCATTGGAGAGAGGGGGAGGGGAGTGGCCGGGAGACTTTAAATGGGCTTTTTGGTGGTTGCTTGTTTAAATAAAATATAGAACGAGACTTGTCATTTAATCCCTCAAAAGGGATGCCTTACAAATATCGATGCTGTTGGAAAATGCAAGGGGTTTAATTTTCTTGCTTTTAGTCCAAACAAAGCTCTGGTGGTGCCTGCGCGCGATCAATCTTGGCCGCCAAAAGGTTTGACAGCTACTGGCCCTTAAGAACACATTTAAAGCTTCTTGCTCTTTCCAAGATCAAATGTGGCCGAGAAAAGAGGCAGAGCAAGAAACGCAAGTAAACAAGGAAAAAAGCTGCTTTTAAAATATGCTGGCAGAGGACTGGGCTGCTTGTGGGAAAAGTCCGGTTTTATTTTGCTTCTCAGTGCCTACCTCGGGGTCAGGCTTTTCTTTTCTTTAATTTTTTTCTTTTTTTCCTCTCTGGAAAATATTGGGATTAACAGCAGGATGACAAAAAATAAAGAGAGAGGTTTGGACTATAACCAGGCTTTGTGAGTAAAACCTGTGTGGGTGTCTCTATTCTGCACATTTGTTTCTTGTGGTCACTCTAATACAAAAACCACCTGGAACAAAAAACCTTTGGAAAGAGGACGCGAAATTCTTGGGCAAATCGATTACTGCTGCCTCCAGAGGGATCTTTTAATCGGGCGAATCTTAAATGCAAAAATACAAATTCTCATTTGCAACCTCTACGCTCCGAGGAAGTGGTTGAATATGGTTTCTGTAAAGAAGGGGGGAAAATCGCTTGTATTTTATTTTCTTCCGAGTGGGGGTGGGGGGGGTGGTAAAACGCCAAATTCCTTCTTTTTCGACATTTTCCTAAACGTACTTCGTGATGTTAAAGGATCCCCACAGTAAGAATCACCGGCTGTACCGTTACCTTTTGTTGTATCTAACCTAACTGCTCCGAGGGGTGGGGGGCTGGCTTGAATTTTATAACGGGCACTCATTTGAAAAGAGCAGCTTCTTGCAATGTTGCAAAAATGCTTCCTTGGCCTGCAAAACAATAACCAGTCATTGGTCTGTGTTGGGTAATAATCAGGTTTCAATGAAAAATATCAGACTACATAACCTTTCCTTCCACGGTTACATATCTATATACACAATAAGCAGCACGGTATAAATATATTTGCAATTCCTTTCTCTGACTGAGCATGCTTTATCTATTTATGCAGAAAAGCTCTATATAGATTCATGGATGCATGACAAGGCTTCAGCATCAGGCAAGGATGGTTCTAGGAACAAGATAAAGCCCAAAGATTAATAATATTTCAGCAGGAGACCAAAATGGCGACATTTTTTTCTGTGCTTTAAAAGATACAGATGGTGAATAGCGTGCATTATTATCTCACAGCATAGGAATATGTCTTTATAAACGTGCAGGGGTATATTTTACCTAGTCTATTAAGGTCCATTTTGATTTACCTTTCAAGTTTCAATCTAAATATTACAGACATTTCGCATAAAAGGAAGAAAAATCACATTCAAACACACGCTGGCGAGTTTCTGCCTTCCACCCCTAGCCGACTCGGACAAGGGACCCCTGTGGGTGCCCGTTTGGGGCCGAGACAGTCGTTCTTGTGTAATACCGTGTTCCCACACGCACCGTACACACGCACACACAAGCACACACATCCACACGTATGCACACCCCCGCGGGAAGAGGGAAGACAAGGATCCCCTCCCCCACAGCTTCAGGCTGCGGTGGGAAGGGAAGTAGGCTCAGCAAATATGAAATCACCTCAAAATAAAATGAAAAATAAATAGTTGAATATAAACTTATATATTTAAAGAGAAAAAATAAAATCCGCTTTAAAGAAAAGGGACAAAACGGCTGCGGGAGTGGAAGGAGCCGTGTCCGGAGGCAGCGATGATCGGCATCCACCCCCCTTTTAGCAGAGGCCCTGCCACATCGTCTTTCCTCCCAAAAACTGGGGGGCTCCGCCACCCAGCTCCCTTCCTTCGCAGCGGGCGAGCCCGGGGCCCGGCGGCACTTCAGCACCCATGAGGGGCTTTATCCGGAGCTCTGTCCCTTGTGTTTCACTCACAGATATACACACGCGGCCGGCAGGCCAGCCGGGGAGCCAGCGGAAGCTCCCCGCGCTGCACCGAGGACGGTCTCCCCCGGAGCCCCGGGGAGGGAGCGATCCGCCCTCCTGCTTTCCGCGCCGGGCGGGCACAGCGCAGCAGGCGCAGGAGGAGGCGGCCGCGAAACCCCGCTGGGAAAGGGAGAAAAAAAAAATTATCTTTTTTTCTAAAGAAAAGGGAAAAAAAAAAAAGAAAAAAGAAAAAAGAAAGGGAAAACCCATCCTTCTCCCTGCCTATAAAATGCTGAAAAGGCGTCGTGGAGCCCTTCGGGTGAGTGAATGGATCCTCGTGTGAGCTTCCAGACGAGTTTCCCAACTCCCCACGTCATGTAGGGCTCTCCTTTCCCTTGTGCTGTGAAGAACATGTTCTTAACTCTTTATTATTCAGAATAAAAGCTTTATTTTTTTGTTTTGCTTCTTTTTTTTTTCTTTTTCCCAGAACGTGAGCAGCAAGGAATGTATAACTTTCAAAATAAATCTAGCTTTTTCAGCTTCACACGCTTCCCGCCTAGCTGGATGTTACAAGCATAAAGTATTGAAACCGTGATCTTTTTTCCCAGATTTTATTGCATCGTCATCATCATCGTTATCACCATTTTTAAGAAAAGGAGTTATAGTTTCCTTTCAAATGTTATTTCCAATGCTTGCCAATATGCCATCTAACATATGGCCTGGTAAATACCTCCTGAATATTCAGGGTACAGATTTTTTATATATATATAAATATGAACAAATGGGGATAAATAAAATTTTAAACACTTAGATTATTCAATGTTTGCAAAAAAAAATATAAATAAATCTGAATGTTCACCAGCATACACACATTGAAAGACTTACACGTATTAATAATTGTCCAGGGAGTCCCTGTCCAAGCGTTTTTGATGTCTTTCTTGCTATTTAAAAGAAGTGCAATAAAAAAAAATTGCTTCCCCGTGGGATCAATCATGTACGAACAAATTCACATTAAGAATTCCTTTTCTAGAAAATTTGTTCATATACCCTGTTTTGATAAAAGTGTAGAAGGTAAAGTATAAAGCCTCTGCATACTCCCAAAGTGAGACACAAGGCTACAGTTCAAGAAGATAAATATCCACTAGTGAAACTATAGAGCAATTCAAGCAACAAATATTGCTACGTCACATAAACTAGAAAACGCTTTTACCAAAGGAAACAAAACCAACCAAAACAAACAAAAGAAACGAGAAGGGGAGGGGAGGGCACATGGCAGGGGAGGAGAGAGAAGGGAAGGGGTGAGTACTCTCCAAAAGATGGGGGCTTGGTGTTCCACTTAGTGACTCCTGTCTCTTACAGATGGGTGAGTTTGGGTGCTTCCTGAATTCTTCCCTGAGAAGGATGGTGAGCGGTAAGGTCTGTGTATGTTGGGTGTGGATCACAAGGTCCGTGGTGGTGATTGTTGGCCATTGGCCCAGCCCCGCTGTAGTCCATGTTGGCAGAGGGAGGAGGATGAGGGAGATGAGTTAGACCAAAGATGGAAGGCCCAGAATTGGTCATGGTCTCCACGTAGTTGCCCCCTACATAGACGGGGCTTCCCTGTATATGTGGATTCCCATAACCGTTACCTTGAAGAGGATGAGTATCATATTCAGGTGTCACAGCTGCTGTCCCCGTGTATCTCTTTTGAGGAGGTGGGCAATTATTAAGAGGAGCGGCATACGATGCAGAGATGCCATAGGTGTTTTGATGAGGCTTGTTAAATGGCGGAGGCGACTGGGGCTCGTAAGGGACACTGTTTACTAAAGAATGCATAGAGTTTAGGTATCCCCCAGCAGCTGGAGGAACAGGGCTTCTGCTTGGGGACTGTCCTCCTGAAGAGGTCATCATGCCCTTGCCCTTTTGATCCTTTTTGTATTTCATTCTGCGGTTCTGAAACCAGATTTTGATCTGTCTTTCCGTGAGATTGAGCAAATTAGCCATCTCTACCCTTCGTGGCCTGCAAAGGTACCTATTGAAGTGGAACTCCTTTTCCAGTTCTACCAGCTGGGCACTTGTGTAAGCTGTACGGGCTCGCTTAGAGGAGGCTTGCCCTGGAGGGCTTTTATCACCAGCACAACTCTCACCTATGTAAATCACACAAAGAACACAATCAGCACGGTACACCCCAACACAAGTACCACAGACAACAGCCAACAACACCAGCACCTGGAAAACCCAGCTCATGGACACGAGATGGGTGTGCATATATGCAACGAGTACTCTCCCCTATGACATGAGCTGTCATGCCAAGCTATAAACCTCAACAGACCTCCTTCACCTCACTAGTAGCACTATATGACTTTTAAGAATGGCAGCATACAATGTATCTTGAGCTTTGCATAAAGGAATAGGAAAAGTTTAAGGAAACACAAGTGGAGTTTAGTAACTCTGAAGGTGAACCTATGGGTCTGCTCACATGGTGGGATCAGGGTCTTCAAGAACTAGCTGTTCTCCACTGTTGTAAAGACCTGCTGCCTTCTTTCTCTGAAAAGCCTGATCTATACACATCATCCACAGATGCCTGAAAGCTAGGTATCTACAACATAACATTACAACATATAAGCATTAAATTTACAGTATAGCATTTCTATCATATCTAGCATATAACATAAACATATGGTAGTGATTGGGAAGTATAACATACATAGAACATACAGTGGCTAAGCTTGCATATAGGCACACAGGCATATTTACACATTATTGCTTTTTAATAAAACAAA